TACCTACTGGCCACTATGTTGTAAAATACATTTTCCAAACGAGAAATCAATTGAATATGACAATATGTATATTATGGCTACTTTATCTGCAGCAGATACAGAAGAAATAGAATATAATTTCGAAAATTATATGTATAAAAAAAATACCCAGTACATACGAGTTCACCAACAATTTATCTGAAGATATATATTATTAAAAAATAAATTGTACTACTCCACGTTACGTTGCTATGTTGACAATATAGATGCAAGTAAATATATAAAATTCAAATTCAACACTAGCATATTTGTTTTTAATACATCATACTTATTATGTTCCATTCAGTAAAAAAAAAAAAATAGATTTAATATTAACCAAAATATTAGTTTATAAGTAGGTACTTTTTTTCTAACAATTTCCTTTTTTTTTTTTTTCAAAAACTGGTTTGATTAGGTTAGGTGGTTGAAATATAAGTTACATTTTAATGCATATGTTTTAAAGCGTCAAGTGTAATAGAATTATTAGAATATACGACCTATATATTACCATAGAACAGTCCTACTCAGCAATTTTCTACCATTTCGTAGTGTACTATCCCACAGAAACATAAATACATTTTAAGCTCTTCTTCCGAAATTAACAAAGGTTAATGACACAACGACAAAAATAATATACAAATATATAATTTCACTTGGGACCACGGTAAGATACGCATAGTCATATAGAGTTATTTTTTGAAAAGCATAATATTCATAATATATAAGTCATGATAGTAATAAATAGATAATGAACATAGTTATATCACAGCGTTCAAGTCTGCAGATATGAACTCTGACACTCTGTCGATGTGATAATAATCTACAGTTGCGAGGACGGGTTGAAAATCACAACATTACAATGCATTTTATCGTATCTAATGCTAGACGTAAAAAATACGCCTGTCGTAGTCGCGTGAAATCATTCGATGACGACGACCTTCGTAGGTCGAACCGTTCGATGATCTCTACATCTCAGTCGATCGACTGTCGGCCGTGGCTACGACTATACTGCCATAGTGACCATAGACTTATTAATATATAGACTGCGCGTCTACGGATCCCCAATGCCATATTATACTATAGGTCACAAAATGCCAACCAGGTGTCCAGGTTTCCAACATTATTAGAATGAGATAGTGAATACCCTTGTAATATAATGGGGCCTAAGGGGTATGTTATTTTTCTTAAAAATGTTGTTATCTTTGTTGATGAACTATTCTCTTTCTCTCTCTCTCTCTCTCTCTCTCTTGCTATTAATGGGTATAAATGTTACCAAAGTTGTATGCTACGTTTTTCTAACAATGTTAGCACCTCTCTCTCTCTATTATCAGTCTATTTATAGGAATATGCAGTGGTGTGGCGCTAGGGGGAGCATACTGGACATTTTCCAAGGGCCCAGCCTTTAAAGTTAGAGGCCTTAATAGTCAAAACTCAGAAAACTTTATTTGCCCAGGGGCCCCAGAAAATCTTCCTCCGTCACTGGGGCTGTTTCATAGGACAATTTCTATGATACTGCCGAATATAACGGTTTGTTTTGTATTCCATGATATTCCACCGGAAGATCGCCAACTTTAAAACACTTGTAAAAAAACACGAATGACGATCATTGTTTTCACCCATAAAATAGACCGATGATGATGACTTGTTTGAGGGTTCGACGAAAAAATCAACAGGTGCGTATTATTATCACCGAGCGGTGTGTAGGGCCAATATCTCGGGTGAGCAGTTCATGCTTTCTAAACGCGCGAGCTGAGCGTAAGGCACTATATCGTTGATACTATAAGTATAATATTATTGAATCAATGGTACTATATTATAATATTATACGCTAGGTACCCAAACAATCGCCTACCGGTCGAGCTTCAATGACGGCTAGCGCCCGGTGAAATCTGCCACCGTCGGATAAGTATAATATATCAAAGGGAAGGTTGGGTTAGGTTAATGATTTATTGTTGTCACCGTCTCGACGGCCACTGCAGGCCATTTTCGCTGACCCGAACCCAAACCCGGCGCTTATTTTTTTTCTAAAATATGTCGTTTAGCAAACTATAATTTTATATATTCATGGCACGAACAGTGGTATAGTTATGACTTGTGACCATACTAAGCAGGAGTAGTCGTGCCAAATAAATATTGCATTTAGCCCCATGCGTCTTATTTTTTGGTGAATATTATATAGTAGGTTTAGGCACTTTAAATAATGTCATGGTAGGTAGCTAAATGTGTTTAAGTTCACCCAACATCGTTTGGTTATTAAGATAGCACATTATACGTCTGTCAGGTCACAACTTTATAATAACATATTTCATTTGTTATATCATTAGTTATTAAATATGCACGAAGATCCTGGTGGTTCTAGTGTGGGATTATCAATTAGAATATTTACCTATAGGTACCTACCGTTTAAGCTAATCAACAATTAAATTGTTGTTTCCACTTATAACGCTCGTTATATTAGTATCTAGACATCTATTGTAGAGCATCGTAATAATAATTATTCATTTTTAAATTACTAGATTTTACATACCTATAATACAAACTACTTAGTGTATGTATCTATAGGTAAACTGTTAACTTATAAAAAAAATAAACCATTTTTTTCTTAATTGTAAAACATTCAATACTATATTATATTGAACTATATAATTTCGTCATAGAAACTTTCAAATTCACACAGACTAGGTAATTATTAATAATACAGCGCCTTAGTTAAATGAAATACACTGGTTTACAATCAGTTTACCTGCCTACTATAGTAATTTGAAATACAAAATAAAAACCTGATAAATGATGATCAAACACAGTGATAATAGTTATATTATTTCTAATTCATTTCAGAGAAACGCAGTACCTACACACGTTTGTGTTTTTAAATTTTGATTTATATTATTACGTTGAAATTATTTCGTCTGCATGTGAGCAGAATAGCAGATATATCAGACTGTAAGTTGTAACATACAATATTCATCTATAGCACGTAAGTGGTCACATTTGTAATAATTGGGACATTTTTCACAACGTTTACCACCGCGTCTCATGCGTCAAACGACTTTAAATAGGTACGTAGGTACCTATCTCTATCCACGTAGTTTGTGCTGTTGCCGATGCAGAAAAGACAATCACTCATTCGACAGTTGTATCTATTATTTTTATCACTGCTATCGTTATTATTACTATTGTATTCAGTTTTTTAATGCTATTTTTTTTATATAGCGCGTGAGATGTTTATTGCCGTTACAACTGACTTTCACCTTCGGACGTAAACGCTGCCGCAGGTTTATGTTTTGGCGGCAAAATATATGACTGTATGAATTATGAATGCATAAATTATGGACACTTTACATACATACCTATAAACCTATTATGTCAGATAATTTGTATTTAAGATATTATTGAAGTTCATATTGATCAATTTTAAATAAATTCTTATGACGTTGCACATTCGTATCAATATCAGTCGATTCGATTTCAAGACTAGACCACTGATTTTTACTATAAACATAACGCAATTACGACATTTATAAAAAAAAATACCAATGTTAACACTCGTATCGTATTCAGACCTTAAGTCAAAGCAGTACTGTTTAAAAATAATTCCTTGAAATTACATTTGTCATAATATAATAATATGACACATATAGTCAAACGTTTAGGACTTGTGTCGAGAATAAAAATGACAATAAGTTTCTTAACGAAATCGTGTAATTAATAATAACCGCGATCCGCGAAAGTAAATATACAATGGTTCATGATTTCATGAAGATGATGTCGCATCAATTATTCAGTAATACCTACTGTAATGGTGAAAGCATTATGCAAGACTAATGTGACACTAATTAGTTGGTAAATATCATTTTTCTTAATTAAATATTTTAATTTTAAATAAATATTAGCTATTATTATAGTTATAAAAACTTTTACTGGAAGGAAACAAAACTCAATAATATATATTTTTTTAATTATTCTAACCCCTAATAACATGTGGTCATTGGGAAAGCTGAATAATTTAGATTATAAAATATACAACATTTTAATGACAAAAAAGTTTCATTACCTATGAAAATAATAATTACGTGTTTTGGTATCAATATTCCATATCAGAGGCCTTAGAATGTATGTATATGCAGTATACACGTTTGAAAATGTGTTGATGTAATTTTTTTACCATACGTATATATTATATTAGGTACAAAATAATTTAAAAAAAACGAATATTATTAAAGTATCAAAAATGTAAATAAGATTTCTATATGAATAAAACACCGTTTTGAAAATATTATAATAATTTCATTAATATAGAGTGATACTATTAATTCGAATCTAATAATTTAACCGAAATTATCAGTAAACAGCAATTAACCCCGATTACATCATATACTTAACTATATTTTGCTAAATTAAAAAACAATTAAGATGAATCGTCTATAATATTGATTGAAAAAATATCGTTAAAGTTTACATTAAGGGAAATTTAAATTTAAAAGACGGATATCCTAAGAAAGTAAAATTACCTTCATTAAGTTAAACTAGTCAATATAGTTTTGGTGTACTATCAATATGACAATGTATCAGCCTATACAGCTATACGTCTATACATACATAATACGTACCAGCTACCAAACAAAACAATATTGACATTTACGTAGGTAGACAAAGTAAATTAATAAAATACTAATCATAAATTATTGAAATTTCAAGTAGAAGTTAATGACCAATCAACATATATCATCAATATAATATATTTGTGAAAAATGTTCTAGGAACCAAAATTAGTAACTACAAATACCGACAATAAGTAGGTACATAGGTTTTTTTTTAGTCTAATTAAGATTGTTAATGTGTATCTATAAAATGTTATATGTATTGTTTCAAATTGTTTTGTATATGGTAACGGTTTAAAATTAAATTAAATCGATCCCAAACAACCACCATAGTAATGGAAGATAAAAAATATTGAGTGAAAAAAAATCGTATAAACGTACCTTCATTTTAACAATTGAACATCAATAGCACAGTACTTATATTTATAACAATAACAACAAACACAACAACAACAATAACAAGTAAATCGGCGGCCCCGTGTAAAAAAATAAAAATATATTTCCACAGGTACGAAATAATTTATAATATAAATTAATGAGCACTCTCACTATATCTCGCGCGCGGGAAGCACTTGCACTCTCACGAGCTCCGTACGTCATACAGCGCTCGGTATCATCACATGAGGCTTTTACCCGGACGCTTACCGCCCAGTGACCCCACCACGGAAAACGGTAATAATATTGTCTTACACAACGACCACGAGGTCCTTTCTCCACACATTACTGTTATTATTATTAATATACCGGGCAGTGGGCACCCAAACCCAACCGCGCACAGTGTAAAATATATATATATATAAAATATAAAACACGAATCCACGATATTATGCGGATCCAGGAACGTCGATGGAGGGGACTATTACATATCGACTATAGATCCGTTTTAAAAATGAAAAAAAGATAATGTACATAATTGAAAAACAAAAATACTAAAATGACTAAAATTTGTTAAAGGGAGCCAACCTTGAATCCGGCGCCTTGGCTTTTTTCCAAAAAATTCCGTTTTTTTTAATGCGACTGAAGTAAGCCATTTTAGCGAATATATAGGTAGACCACTAAAAAAAATTGTATGGTTAAACCAGTTGATGTTTCCGTTTAAAGTGTATACAAAAACCTGTAGTCAAATATGATATGTGCTACGTAAATGAAATTTACATTTTAAACGCATGTATATGGGTGATTAAATTTCGGTACTGAAATTAACATTATAAAATTCCATAATCCATATATCAACTCTTATGTAGTTTTATGATGAGATTGTATAATTATTAATTTGCATTATGTTACCTATAACTTATAACATAGCAATATATTAAGTAATACTAATTCAGCTTAACTGTTTTTTAAGTAGGTAGTTGTAACAATAAATTAATTTATGTGATAAAAATATATCCGTAGAAAACAAATTTTAACTTATGTTTCCTGTCATTATTTGTATTTCAATTTTTATTTTCCCGTGATCTATTTCAATCGTTATTTGAAAGCTTAACATTATAATCAATACTTTTTTTGAGGTAGATCATTGCGGCGAACTTACGACGTATCATTTAATGGTTTTTTCCTCACCTCGTTATGTTGGACTTTCATCTTCTGAACACAATGCACCATCCTTCATATTTCCACCCCACGCCCCCACAATTATGTAGTAAGAAAATATTTAATAATATGAAATAGACCACACCACAAAAAAAGTTACAAATAATTAGATAAAAATGATTTTGTTTACATGGGTCACTATAGGTTAGGTGTTAACTCAACAAGTAAAATTGTTGGGAAAACCCTCTATAAATAAGCAACAGGGTAAACGAAAATCGTTCTACTTACATGGTGGGGAAGACGAAAAGAATTCGAGTACCGGAGTACATATCACTGGAAACCATGCTCGGTCAACCCGTAAATTATATAATATTTATTTTATTTGAATATTCGACCAATATCCAAGGAACTCGCTCAAAATGGTCCGCACATTTTCAGATACTTACCTAAAATATATCACATTCGCTCGAAAGACCACCACTTACCAAGTGTACCACATTAATGGCTCGAGGACTGTAATAATAGCATAATAATATTGTTATAATATTGTATCGAATCGTTGATGATTTCCTACAACATGTTTGGATGTTATGACATGTCAATCACGGATACGGTTATGATCTTGTTGTTGCCATTATTCCATGAGGTATGGTGGAAAATTATTGCAAAAAAAAAAAACACGTAAACCAGATAAAATCTTGACAGTATAAATGCGTCAGTGGCAATCAATGATTTTTTCCACTAGATTTGAAATCTCGCACACATATTTATCATACGTAGGTAGGTATATGTTATTATTATTAAAAATCAATGGTATAACTTGTGGTGAAGAGGTACATTGAATTTCCCTACTGATTTTAAATCCTAGGCCTATCTATAATATCCAACGTGGATACTGTGTTAGGTTAGGATATGTTATTAGTAATACACTAATATGATATAATAGTACCTATCCAATACGAAATAATAATTTTAATGAAGAATAACATCATAATAGGTTGGTACTTAGTCAAATTAATAATTATATATTAACAATAATGTGTTTTACTAAGACTATAAGTTACGTGGCGTCTATCCTTGTACCAAATTATATATTTATTTACGTAGACAATAATATGTGCAGTGATACGTTTGTATTGAAGAAAGTTAATAATATTATCTATATAAAAATTAATAATTATACCTTACGGACAATGGACATAAAATATAATAACGAAAGTGAATGCATAAGTAACATAATAATATGATTCAAAATGTATTTATGATTCTGAAATAAAAATGTAAGTAATTTATTATACATGAAAAATAATTATTAATTTATTTTAATTTCATATCACAAAGATACATACTTAATAATTCAGCCGAAAAAATATTACGAAAAATATATTTTAACTAAAGTTATTAACCAAAAGTGTGATAAATGATAACTTAATATTAACTTTATTAATATTTAATTTAGTTAGTATCTTAAATAAAAAAATCACATGTTTAGGTAGGTATACTACAAAAACATAATAATTATGACGATGTATTTCGATATCACTATTAAATATAAACAACAAAATATTTGTTATTATAACCTGTACCTATATTGTACGATGTATGCATCTACCATCTAACTTGTATTACCTACCTATTATCTATTTATTTTAGTCTTAAAGTACCTATGTTATGATATTATTAAATTTATATCAATTAAAATAGAAATACTATTGTAATAATTCAAAACATTTTAATATTATAATATACGTAATATTACCAACCATTTTACGTATATACATTATAAATAAATAAATACATATATTCTATACTCTATAGGTTAGTAAAAAAGTGGAAATTGCAAGGCATTTGACAATGTTCCATTAGGTACAACTGTCAAACGCTTTACAATAAAATAATAATGCAAGTTTTCTTTAGATTTGTACGAAAATCATCAATTTTCATTATTATTGATGGATTGATGGACAATTGTGTTAACTCCCGTTAACTGCGAGTTAACAATTGATTTAGCATTTATACGATTTATAGTTTATACAACCGAAAAGATTATATATTATTATTTTCTTGCACGCCAATTTAACCGTTGTGTAATATGCATTATGATATTATAAGGTAATGTATGATGAAAAAATAAAATATGGATAAACACATGAAGCACAAATTGAGTTATACCCATATCCTATACTACGCCATAATATTGCATAGGTAATTGTTACTATGTGGCATACGCATACCTAATCCTTAAATAATCATCAAACTATTATATAAACAATAAAGTAAAAATTAAATTATCCTCCCTTCTAAGTTTAAAATTATTAAACTAAAAATTAATTGGTAAGTAATATAACCGTCAGAATATAATACAATGTACACACAATTGCAGTTACTGTATGTAGGTACTACAAAACTTTTTTTGAATTTCTATAGTTTATAAGTTTATTTTGTATACTTTTTACAATACTTATGTAATAAATAATAATGAATTATTTAAAATTTAACTCCCTAAAATGAAAAATATTGAAATAGGTATACCTACTTAATATGTTTTCCTCAGAGTTTTAAAATATTATAAGAACGCTTTAATAAAGAGACGTTTGAAAGAGATACAACGAAAATCATTGTAAGATATATTATTGAATTAATAGACATACGAATAATTAATAATAATACATAAGAGGTGGTGAATTTAATTGCGTATAGATTGTATTCGATTATTACAATTTTAAAAATAAATGACAAAATACAATTTTTAAATACATTGTACTTATATAACAATGTAGGTATTTATTCAATGTTAACTTGTTGTTTGTATTGGTTATGAACTCATGACTTATGCTGTATAAAATTAATTTGGGGACGAGGTGGCCGAGTGGTCTAACACGTCGTCTGCGGCGCTGGCGGTCGCGGGTTCGATTCTCTCGGCCACTGGGCGGCATTTTTCTCCGGGCAAGTCACGGTGTCCGGAGAACAAGTGCCGCCATCCCCCACTCCGGGGCATGGCAGAAACCTACGGGTGCCCCATTCGAAATTCTGCCAAAATACACCCACGTGTACCAACCTACAGTTTCCCCTCTACAGTACCACAGGCTAATAACCTTGCAGTTGATGCCTTTAAAAAAAAAAAAAAAAAATTAATTTGATATTGAAATGTATAATTAAGTATTTCTAACTATATAAAAAGTAATTATGATCTCTATACAATTTTTGAAAATTTATATTTGTTATGATCATAGGTCGTGATTGTGTAGAAGTTTATATAACAGTTTAATTCAGTTGACAATTTACCAATATGAATCTCTTATAGATGATTTATTTCATTCAAGTGCATATGCGCAATTTGGGGAGGTCTTGGAGGGACTTAACCCCTCCAATATTAAAATTCGCCCTTCCAAAAACGTGTATTTTAATTGAAGTGTCTAATCTTTTTTAGTTATTCTATGAAATTCAGAAAACGTTGTATAGTAATCAATTTATGTAGTGTAAGTACCTATATTATATTATACTAATATGATCATGTCGAATATCACTGCTCTTCCAGTACAGAATACACCATCCGAAGTCGAGATTCGCTCACCGTCAGCAAAATCGATCGCGATGAACCGAGTTTTTGCAGAGTTAACGGCTCAACGAAAAATCGTGTCGGCAAGGTAATATCGGCGGTCCGGTGACCGGGCGATACTGCAGCAGTTCAATGACGTCGAACATCGCGGTGCAGACTGCTTCTGCGGGTGATGCATCCAACCGGGTTACCGGGAATCGGGTCTGCCGCCTCGATGCTGCAGGAGCCGGTATACCGATCAATAATTCAGGCCGGTGACTCGATGCAAACGGTCGAGCCGTTAAGTGACCCG